GGACGGAGTTGCAGCCCTCAAATAAATGGAAAAAAAATTCTTGAAAGAAGTTCACTCATTCAGAAATATCTTCGAGTCGTCAACATTATTTCCCCTCCTCTCCCCTCCACGGTCCCCTTTGCCCCCCGGCCCTCCTTTTCATTATTTTAATCACTTGAACTTTTATCATGCTGCAGCGAGGATTTGAGGAAAGCTCCTTCGAGAGACGAGGATGGACTTAAGGACAGAGGGAGAAGGCGGGGATCAGAAAGATGGTTTTTTTTTCCAAGTTTGTATCCTCCTCTCGGCGCTCTCAATTGCGGTTTTCGCTTCTTGAAGACCGGTGCACTCAAGCTACGATCGATTTCGATGAATATATCTTGTAATGGTGGGTTCGCGTATCGTTTTGCGATGGAAGCCACATCCTTTAAACGGATTGAGCATTGTTATGTTTAGCGTGGCACTTTAACCCTTTGCTTACCACAGCAATTGGAAAATTTAACCGGAAACTAAGGTCCCCGCGTAACTCAATACGCTACCGAATCAACCAATCTTCGAAGCAATTTTTTTTTTAAATTGTCTGTTGATCATAAAAAAATTCAATTTTCCTATCACGTCAACAGATTATAAAACGGCAAGTATAAATTACACCGATTTCAGGGGTGTGCATGGTTTTGGTATCGCTCGTAAAATTTCGCGGGATAAATTTTGATCGTTTTTATGAAGTTACCGTGATTTTTCTCATGTGTGTTAGGGCTTTTTCTTATTTTTTTTTTTGCACCCTTGTCTCCTCGAGAATATGATAAGCCAGAAAGTCTTCTAAAATCATCAAGGGCCAACGTTCCTAGCAAATTCGCCGAGCGCAGATGCAAAAAGCTTGAAGAGCTAGAGCTTTGAGAAGCAATTATGTTGGTCAAATATCACACTGAGATTTATTCATTAAAAAAATTGCAAAGTAAATTCTAACAAAAAATAAAAAAAGGCAGCTATGCTATTCTCCACAATCCTCGATTGAATGAAAGCAAACCTCGTTAATCTTGCGAATTTTACGCATTAATTTTGTTTTCGGAGGAGTGGGAAAGGACAAACCGAAACTTTCTGAATGGCCAGTAACTTTGACCTTTCTTTTATCAATCCGGGACACTGGGTTCCCTTGGATATCTCATTTTGTCCTAAGCGGGTGTGTATGCATGGGTATTTGTAAGTTTCAGACCCTTTTTCCCTTTTTAGTTTTCCCCACCGTTATTGTTTTCCCGAGACGCTTTTCCTGGAGACAAAAGATCGCCTCTTAATTTCGGACTTTCAAGAAGACTCTGAACTTCTGATACAGAGTAACTCTTTGACTTCTCATACTTTTGCATTTGCGTCATGCGGAGATAATCGTCTCAGACAAGAGGGTATGATGCAAATACCACTTTTCTACCTTGCCATTTCTCACAAAAATCCTAAATTCATGCACATCGCCTGCCTTGCTGAGGAAAAACGCCGAGTGAGCCTTCAGAATTTGCCAAAATCTCTTCGACAAATCACAAATATTGCCGATCTTTGTGAACATTTTTCTTTCAATTTTTCAGGAGATTCGCTCGAAATTGGATGTAAAGTGTCTGAAAATTTCAATAAAGAAATATTTATAATTTTCTTCAAAAATTGAAGATTTTCAAAAATTATAATTTTCTGGGAAGAAATTTGGCGACATTTGAATGCACTTATGACGTTTTTCCTTAGCACGGCAGAGGAGTGGTAGACCAATATCCAATGTAAATGGGGCAATTTTTCCAATTCCGTCTGTCTGGTCGCCGCGCCGCGCCGCGCCGCCGAAATCGGGCTTGGAGCTTTCGGGCGAGGCGTTTCCGGGGGCTACGAGATGAGTAGCGGGAGGGTGGTGGAAGGGGGGCACTATTGATTAACCATTGGTCGGCCACACACTCCCCTTTCTGAGTGACCAGACACCTTGTGAATCGTGCGTGAACTCGACTCTATTCTGCCCTGTTGCCACTGAACCCACCCGATGACTGTTTCACGCGGATTTGATGTTACAGTTGCGGTAGATTTTTTTATTTTCTCGGATTAATTTTTTTAAGTAACCATTGTTTTGGCTCTCTGCATATAATTTTTTGAGTTGTCGCATCTCGCGGTATTTTGTACTCAGGTATCTCGGTTCGATAGTGTCGTAAAAATAGAGAAAAACTATACGATAGTGTCTCCCTCCATGTCAGAGGTACTTGTTTTGATTTGGTACAAGGAGATCACCCCGCGGCACGAAGTTGGAGTCAAGATCAGATGCCATTCCGCCTTCAATTTTGATGATACCTCAAGCACATCCGTTACGCACGAATAGTGGTATCAAAGAGCCGTAAGAGTCTTGTTCTGCTGTCATCTCTCGATTTTTCACGATGGAATAATACTACTTACGGCTGTTCTGTCTGGCATTGCTTCATTTTTGGCACACTCACGGCTTTCTCAAATCTATGCCTTGTTTTCGTGAAAATCGGACGAATTTTACTGTTTTTGCTATTTCAGCGATTTCCTCTACAAGAGATTAGACAAGTTTTGAAGGAAACTTGATTTCGAAAATTTGAGACTCGCAGCTCTCTTTGCTATCACGGCAGAAGAAGCCTCTGAACAGTCACAGTTCGTCACAGAGTAATCTTCATCGCAGGATCGTTTAAATCTCGCAAAGGAAGAGAAATGATGTGGGACTCCGGTCTGGTCATCGCATGTAAATCTGGTAGCAATTTACCCTCCACATTCGACACTTAGAGACTCTGGTGGCAAGTTTTAAAATTCCACAGCCCGCCGGCTGCCAAATACGGAAGGACTACTGTCTTACGCATTAAATTCCCGAAAAATTGGAACACTTCCCCGTGGGATCAACCGCGGGTCGCTTAGTGATATACGCGCCGTTCATCGCGGCGATTTGAATAACAAACGAGCCGCCAATCAACGTCGCTCTCGGGGTAAAATCCAAATATTTCGGGCCAAATTATAAAACCACGAAAGAAAACATTTAAAAATCGAAGAATTTGTAGCACAGCATTTCATATTCTATCGTGCCAAACCCAGAAATTTCCTCGAAGGTAAAATTATCCGCAAATGAGTTATCTTCGGAATTTTATTTGATCCTAAGTGGTAGATATTTTGTCATGAGTCAGTCGACTTGAGTCCTTTGTGCGGCGGGATAATCGGTTGGTTGTCATCGACTAAAAATACGTCTTGAGTCCGAATCGGCCTAACAGCATTCCGGACGGGGATGGCTGACTTATATCTGGGCAAAAATGAGCCGCCGGAATCTACATGAAAACGCGTTTGCCAGATTTTCGAAAAATTTAATAAAATCGTGCGTTAAATATGTAAGAAAAAAGTGTCGCTTGTTTAATCTGGGAACACTGCCTGGAAACGTAAGCGTCTGAAAGCGAATCATTGCGACCCCGTTCCCACGAGTTTTTGCTCGCGAGCTTTCGAACTGAAAATCCGAGTTGCCGATTTTTAGTTTTCGGATTCGGCGAAAAGCACGACGAGTATTTGACGCGGCCGGAACAGGAATTGTTAGAGTGTTTTTGCAAAGTATCGAATTTGCAACAAGAAATGAGGGATTGCCAGCTCCCAGCGGGCTGGTTGTTGAAATTGGTAGACAAAGCGCTAGACAAAGAAGAAAAAAGGGATAGGGAGGGATTCTAATGGTGGAAGCGGGTGGTTGCAATCGGACAAAGGAGGTAGGTAATAGACAAATTATAACGGCAATCCACGACAGACCCTATAGTTAGTCCATCAGTTTCTCCCTTAGTCTACAGGAACCATCTATTTCAACCTATGGGTTCTCTCCATACTCCCTATGTCTTCTTTGTCTATAGCTTCCTCCATCAAGAGATTAATACATATGGGTAACTTTTCCCACACTCACCTCTGTTTGAACTTTATGTCGACCGTTTATCTGAAGTTCTCAAAGTTTAAACGCTCTGACTTGAACTACTTCATGGTGAAACACCGAAGGAACACCTTACGCCATAGGAAGCAAGCTCGCGCAGTGCCCAATAATTGATAAAAAAGCAACACCCAATGCGGTATTTTTTCTTATGAAAATCAAATTAAAGGTAAACGAAAATATTGAAATACAGCATGCTTGAAGTACGTGTTTTTCGAATTTAACCATCGATTTCCACCCACAATCTTATTCACAAACTCACTTTTTATAGAAATAGATTTTATGTTTTATAGTTTGCTATTTTTAACTCATAATTGACTCGTCGTACTCACCGCGCACGTATCCGAGAATCATTCAACTTTGCAGAGCTACTCCTTCGATACTTTAATCTTCTTGGAATCCGTCTAGGGGTCTCGGTATTTGTCATTCAGGTTTACATTATTGCATAAAACTGCCATTTTCAGGGGGTTGAACCGCTGGTTGCATGTGAAAACAGACAAATTAAAATAAAACATTCGGTAAATAACAACGTAGCTCTAAATATCTTTACGATAAAAATACTACGACGTAAAATAATTAGACATTTTTCATCTGCGACAAAAAAAAATGTATACAGGCATAGGCATTCAGCATCGACAGCTAACCTGACCGAAGTTATCCGTCTCAACCGGCAGTTTAAGTCAAATTCAGTCACTTTTTAAAAATTGTCTAAAGTTTCTCAAGTTGGTGCCCCTGGAGTTTCCGTACCCCCCCTCCCCCGCCCTACGTACCTACCGTCATTTATGGACAACCATCACCCTCCTTTTTTTAGAATTACATCATGTGATATGACCCTCCTCCCCACTTGTAACGATTTTGTGACGTAGGTTCTTATCCTTAAAGACATAATACAAAATACCGTAACGCTATCCTCGAACCCCCTTCGACCTCACATTTCGATTTTGTGACGTAGGTTCTTATCCTTAAAGACATAATACAAAATACCGTAACGCTATCCTCGAACCCCCTTCGACCTCACATTTCACCCCATTTCACAGTGAGGAAATGTAAATTATTTTAAAAATGCATTTTTAATTTGTCATCTTTGTTTTTGTTTCAGGCGGGAAAGTATGGCTGGACGACCCGGCGGACCTGCCGTGGCGCTCGCCGCAGCGCGAGGAGGATCGGCTGGAGCGATGCGACCGGGATCGGAAGATCGGGCGTCTGGACGACGACCTGGTCAAGCCGCGGCTGTCGCCCCTATCGCCGGACTCCCCCTCGCCCCTCCCCCTGGGCAGGC